TATATATATATACACAAATATTTTGTGTTAATTACGGATAATTCTTACAATTATTCTGAATAATTTCAAACTAAAATCTAAAACAAGTGATTTTTCTATTATTATTATTTTATAAAAATTATGTTCAACCTCCTTAAATAGGAAAGATTTAACAAGACCATAAAATGCCTTTCTCGGATGAACAATATGGATTTAGGTCAAAATAAGTAGAGCCGAGATTTATTATTTAATTTTACATTTTCATAAGGAATACTTAAGACCTTGGCCTTATTTCGTGAAGATGAAAAGACATTATTCGCACTTTTATCCTTTCATTATGCGGAGTGATGCGAAGAACAAATGCTAAAGTTAGATTTAAAAAAAAAAAAAAAAAAGCATTTAGAATAGAAGTGATGTTGCCATTTCTATTTTCGAATCCTCCAAGAATACATATATGATTCGATACACCAAACACTTTTAAAGTGATATTTTAGGAGGTAGTTTTAATCAGTAAACATCACCAAAGGTTAAGACAGCCTAAGATCTTGATTGTAGCCTTTAATATCGTAACGTCGCATAGAAAATCTGTTAAATTTAAAACATCAGTCTCGGAAGCGATTAATAAAGGCTCTAAAGTGTCCTAGAGGAGCATAATTTCGTCCCAAAGATGGACACTTAGATCGTAATTCCTTTTTCCTTCCCTTATCGTACGTAAACTGTTAAACAATGAAGGCTAGTAAAGTTATAATTAAATTATAAAGTTATCTAGAACAGGAAACGAGTTGTGCAATCTCTATTTACAGAATTTGCATCTTAAAAGATTGTCCCTTTTTTTTTATGGGTGCAGCCTCCAAGCATATAGATTCTTCAATGGACCAATTTGCATGGTCATATTTTATAGATTACTTTTTTTACTTGTAGTTTAAACATTTTTACGACTAAAATGACCGAATATTAATTGCATAATGAGTTTTGTAAGTTTATTTTTATGCTAATTATGTATAATTAAATAAAATTGTGTCATTGAAAAATATTCAAGAGGCTTGCCAAGAATACAAAACAATATATCTGATATAAAATTTTGTATCCTATATAATATAGGCCTATATATATACCATGCCTCAGAAAACAAATGTTTTTCGGTGTAAAATTAATAATGTTAGCCACTTTAATCCGAAAATAGCTATTTTCGACTAGATACGGATCCAAGCTTTAATTTTGTCACACACACCTTCACTAAAATGGCAAGTTTCATGAACAAGTATCTTCCTATTGGCTATTCTAAACTAGAGATAAACTTAAATTGTAGCAGATGGTGTTACATCAGAGTCAAAAGGTGGATTTCGTCGCATCACACATTACTGACTCGTTTATCTGCCCGTAATATAGCAAGTTCTCAAGGTCGTCGCGGCAACACCCATCGTTACTAACTGTCTACACGTGTTAGAATTAAATTCTACACTTACTTGTTAGTAAAATTAAGTAAAAACTTAATCCATACAACGACTTTGTAAAGAAAATATTTCGAGATTCCGATTTTTATATGTCATAATTCTCTCCCCCCTCTTACGGTGTAGAATTCGATATATCCGTTTGTATCGCGCCACGTCGGAAACAGGCTACCTAATCAATAGAATACTAATTTATGTTTTCTTCTATTCTTTAAAAACACAAATTCGTGTTTTGTATTCTTCAAATAAAGAAGATCAAACTGCATAGTCTATTATATACAATAATATATGAGCGATACAACGCGACGTAACTCAGAGACTGTTTGCATATAAAGAATCAGTTTTGATCTTAAAATAAATAAATAAAAACAAATGTGCTAATTATAACCGAAAACCGAAGCAAATACTAAAAAAAAAAGAATTTAATATTTTAAAAAATTAATTATAAAAATCTGAAAATCGTGCGATACGTGACAGAGAAACGAGTCGTATAAATCGCTATCGCATTGCTAAATTAGTTATGGTAAATGATTATGAAGCATTTGATATTCCGTTCGAGTATCTCAATCCTTAATGAATATTTAATAACTGAAGTATTCGTGAAATAAATAAAAATAATAATGAATCGATCGGCACGGTTCGGGATCTGGCGAATTATCATGCAAATGAGGGAAGTTCATGAAACTTTCCTGATAGTACGCCAAGTTTTATCGCCATTCTCGCGGCATTTTATGTTTTGGGATTTTAGTTAAGAGGTTTTTTTTTCGATTTTCCTGAAGCTACAGAGCTTAAGGTTATAATTTAATTCGATATCGCTCGTTTCTCGACTACAGATGTTCTTAAAACTTTATAGTTATAACAGTTTTAATCGATGAGATCCGAAGTTAATTCCTTGACAAAGCCTCTCGAAATAACCACTTTTTAACTCGTTTTCTAGAAACATTCTTCATTGGCAACCTCGGAAAGGAATTTAGACCCGCTAGCGATTTTACAACAGATATTTCCTATGTACAACTACAAAATACTCAACCAAAACTTGTTATAGATGACCATTCGTAACATTTTTACACTATTAAATGCTGGAATGTCTGTTGTTAGCAGAATTAATGCAATCGCTGTTGGAAATATTGTTTTTTTTTTTAAAGAAAAAAAAATCTAATCGCGATTTTCCCGCTTTTCTAATGGATAATCGATGCTAATGTTTATTGTCGCTTC